AAACGGATATTGTGTTTATGCTTAAGTTCCATTCTCAAGCTGTCCCATTTTATTACATATATATAAATTTAACAGCCTGTATTCCAAAATCCGAAAAAATATGAAAACCGATGTACTTCCGGTCGAAAGAAATTCCGAATATATATATATATATATATATATATATATATATATATATATATATATATATATAACAGGAGGTCAGTTGAATTCGCTACCTTGTTTTCAATCTTACGGTAACCTCAGGCGATTTTTTCAAATGACCACATATATATCAACTTTAAAAAAAAATTGAACTAAACAAAGTTACGTTATTATTTTCAAAAATAAATAAACAAACGCACGATGTTGGATGTAACAGAAGAAGAAGAAGAAGAAGAAGAAGAAGAGCAAGTGTATTGTAAATGTATTGTTGGGAAGTTAAATTACTCTTTTTTTTAATATCCAGCCTCATATGTACTTAAGAAAAATTTTGTGACATGTAAGCAAGGACTTAAGTCTTCGGGTTTCTGGTTTTAAAGTTTTTAGGATCCAGAAATGTCATAATCGCTAATTTTTCCTGTTGGCAGAGGTTGCAATTATTGTGATTGTTGTACAGTTTTTGCCTTCATTTACCGGCCTGACGTATATTTTCTGTGAAAATTTCTCGGACATTCAGGCCGGTAAATGTTTAATACTGTTTATTATAAACAGAGCATTTACTTAAATATTTTTATCTATAAAATGAATGTTTAAACATAACAAAATGTCTTAAAAATAATTGTCGGACTTTGTCCATTTCATAATGTGTGACGTCATTTGTTTACATTTGGATACGCCATGAGCAGATATGAATGTACGTGAGAGTTTCAAAGAAAATTGAAGTTCAAATACAGTAAATTCGACTTTGCTAACCGAACCCTCCTCTGTGGTCAAATCAGTAAAGGCACGTCAAGCTAAATGACGGTTTCGTATAGGATACAGGTTCGAATCCTGTCGGAGGACGAAGATTTCTCGGACATTCAGGCGGGTAAATGTTGCTTAATACTGTTTATTATAAACAGAACATTTACTAAAATATTTGTATATATAAAAAGAATGTATAAACATAAAATGTCTTTATATATTGGGTGTTAGGCCATATATATATATATATATATATATATATATATATATATATATATATATATATATATAATTAAGGTTAATTGTGAGATAAAGTGTTTTACATTAAAAAATACAAACTTGATTCACGAAGACAGAAGATGGTGATTGACGTGGTATTTCCATCTTTGAAGATTGTAGGTGACAGAGACAGCGAGAAATCGGAAGGTAGATTCACAGGTGAGAAGTGCGAGTAAAGAAACTTTTAGAAGTGACAGTTGCATCTAGCTAGTTTAACAGTAAAACTGTGAGGCCTAGTTTCCAATCTAGTAGCACGCTTGTATTCATGTAGTCCAGGCGCTAGTGTAGGAAAAGCTCATCGGAACAGTGAGGAAATGACTGAATTCGAAATGCCAGATTAGGATTGATTACATTATAGACACTTCTTTGAATTTCATCAGGAATCTCGATATATACAGGGTGTAACAGCAAAATTGTTCAAATAATGTAACAAAATTATCCACCACACAATATGTGAATTATTTAAAACATCACTAAACTAACTGAGTTTCTGTTTTCCACGTTTTCAGATAAGACGTTTAGCCATCTTGACACCATTTGTCGCAAGAATCACTGAAAAACCCTTTGAGTTATTCGGCTAAAAAGAGAGCGGATTAAAATTGTTTTATGTCTTCTGTCTTCCCAACTGGGCAATAGTGAGAGGAAAAAGATCATTCAGGCCTTCAGTACCAACATTCACACTCCGGCTTCCATCTTCAAAGTCCATTCAAGACCCATCAAGAGAATGGTGAATAAGTTAAAAAAAAAAAGATGAGGAAACAGTAGAGAGGAAAACTGGATCAGAGAAAAAGGGGCCATCATTTTAACTTAGAGCTCAAGTAGAAAAGATCCAACTCAACCCGTAAGACGTTTGGCACGTGAGAGAAGAGTTTCAGCTTTGGCAGCCGAAAGAGCAATGAAAAATAACTTAAAAAGGAAATCGTACCTGAAATCTATGAGACCCTTTCTTACTCTAGGACATAAACTTAGAAGTATGAGAAGGCGAAGATTATCTTGACTAAGCTGTAAAGTGATCTCGGAGTAAGATATATAAATAAATATTTGAACTTTATTTCAATCCTTCGTGAGGTTCCGATCTTTAGCCATGATTAATTAATGATGAACATGTCATTTTCGTTTATGAACGATTTCATTATGATACTTCTGTTAAGCTTGGAGAGTAATTATGAATTTCTTATTGCTCAATGTAGAGTTCAATAATGTTATAAAAACCTCGGAGAATTCCAGTAAGATATCTTTAATCATTTCTAAGATAGGACTGTTCTAACAATTGGACAATTTTGCTGTTAGACTCGGTATTTTAATTGCATAAGACCAGCTATAGTAACAATATTAAATGCTTGAATGAATGGCGGATTTATAAATCTGCATGATGGATCCTGACGAAAAAGATTTTCTGGCAGGATACAGTAAACAAACTTTTCTTGGTGTAAACCTAACAATTCATTCAATATAGTCGCTCCTCCCCATGTCAAAGAACAAACCCGACCGATAAGGCTTAGTTTTTTTCTGAAATGACATGACTAAAATCAAAAGCTACAATCTTTGATGATCAGTCAAAATTGAAGAAGTTAAGAAAAATACCACTGAAAAAAAAAAAAGTACGTGAAGAAATTTATCAGAGCGAACAACCCGGACGGAGTGAGGAAGTCTAAAATTTAATGAACCCACTGGAAACTTACCAACCAGGATACCCATACGGAAATCTAAAGCCCCAGACCTACGACCCTTCTTATTCCAAATACCTACACCTGTCAAAAATCCTTAATGATTTAATCTCCCCATACCCAACAATTTCAGAATCACATCTACAAGCGAAATCATCCAGATCTTTAATGCAAAAACTCCGGCATATGGGACCTTTGCTTTACTCGACGTTAAAAATATCTTCACCAACGTCCAATTCGAGAGCACATCTCTGTAATTTGTAACTTCATTTAAAAACATACGCCAGTCCCTCGTACCAAAATTAGACCAGCAACAAAAAATAAAAATTACTAATGCATAAAAGGTACGGTGATGACATTTTTTATTCTAGCAACCAATAGTAATGAAATTTAAAATCTAATGTAAACATTAAAAAAAGACAACTCTAGACTAAATTTCTCATACGAACTCAGTGTTAATAATAAAACCCAATTCTTCGACATTTACGTAGAACTTAACTCTAAGGCATTTAACACCTATATATATATATATATATATATATATATATATATATATATATATATGTGTGTGTGTGTGTGTGTGTGTGTGTGTGTGTGTGTGTAGAAAAATACTCGAAATTGGAGTAAAAAGCTTGTTTTTCAACGCAATTTTCAATGTTTTTCACAAAGTTTTTAATATAACATTGTATAAACTGTTGAAGATGGATAAAATCAATATTTCTCGATCGATATGAAATTCATTTTCAATAACTGTATTAGTTTTCTAATGTTTTCAAATACCAAATTATATTTTGAAATAATCGTGTTTAAGTTTTTAAAACTACTTGACATTCGCGTAAAGAGGTAGTTTTTCAACGCAATTTTCAATGATTTCAAAACTTTGTAAAACTCAGAATTTTAACTTTGTGTAATCTGTTGAAAATTGTTAAAATCAATATTTTTCGATCGATACCAAATAGATTTTCAATAATTTTATGTTCCCTATCTGCCCCATGAGTATCAGATTTTCCAAGCCCTTCTTTCTAATTATATGCCGCAGAAATTTCCTTTAAATTTCCTCTTCATCTTTGAGGAGATCATCCAGCTCTCACTGCCATACAGGAGGCCAGCTATAACATAGCAGTTTTGTGCTCATTTCCTTGTTTCTAGCGAAATCTTCCTATTTCTTAATACTTTGCTTAGCTTTTGGAATGCTTCGTCGGCTATCTAAATTTATGCATAGCATAAAAAAACAGAGAGTTGAAATTTCTAGG